CCCCAAAACCCCAAAACCCCAAAACCCCAAAACCCCTTAATATTTATCAATTATTGACGCGTTAGTGCAAGATATTAGAATATCTTCTTGGGTAGTTCCTGAATGTCGTATTCTCCACCTTGTTCATAAATCTCTAAGATCTCTGGAGATAACCTTGAGCTCTTGTTTGGCTGAAAGGAATGCAACATTACAGCTAGAGTGTGAGACAGTATCCTTACAGAGAGGCTTAGCGATGAGATACGTGTAGTAGCTAGCTTCATAGTTTGGAAGTGAGAATAGAAGACAGAGAGAAGAGTGGATCATCTCATCAAATTCTCCTCTGTTTTTACTATCTTCTTCAATTATTGGGTCTGTAGACTTTACTGATTTCTCATCAATTATCTCTTCTAAGATCTAGAGGTTAGGAATTAGGGTTACATTTCTATACACATCTTCATAATTATCAAATTTTCTGAGTAGGAGTTTTAAGCTTTCGCTAGTCAGTTTCAGAGAGGATGATTGTGAGAGATCAACTTCATTCGAGAGATCTCCAAGAATCTCTTTGACATCTGACTGGCTAAACAGAGCATCTGAGATTGACCCAGTTGGTAGCTAAAGAATAATCTAATTAGAACTTACAGCTTTAGAATGAAGCTCGATGAGTTTTTCCTCAGTAAGATCTTTCTCATCTAAATTATGCAAGTAGAGGTCCATTAATGAGAAGTAGAATGTCTCTTGGAGCTCCATCATTTCTGCAGCTCTTTCTTTGAAAATAATTTTATCGAAAGATTCTTTATCTATGGGTTTTCCTTCATGATCAATGAGCCATTTGCTGATAAAATTGTAATCAAATACATAGTTCTCAGTAAAATTAGATGGCACTTCTGCAAAATCTATTGGAACTCTAGCTCCATTAATCAACTGGAACTCAGTTTTACAGAGAGCAATGTGCATTGCATGACCAAGCTCATGGAATACATCTCTTATTTGCTGGAAGGTAAGGAATGGCTGCTCAAGGCTCACTGAATTTATCATATAAGCAATCGGGTGTTGATGGTCACCATCGCATTTACTGCATGAACCTTGAATGGTAAATGTTGCAGCTCTCCCATTAGATTTATGGTTTCTCTCAAAAAGATCAAGATAGATTTCACTATGGGCTCCATTGTAATCCAAGTCAATCCTGAAAAGAGTAGCAGTATTAGGGTCATTCGGAATCTCAATTTCATCCGTGATATCAATTCCTGCTTTGGCTGGATCTGTATAAGTCTCTTTGATTAATTTCTCTTCTATCTCTCCAGAATGCTTCACTTTTACCAAGAAGACCTTGGTATTGGCTCCAAAAATTTCTGTAATCATGAACAAGACACCTTTGAGTACATTATCAACAGAGAATAAGTGCTGAATATGAGCTAGCTTATCATCATTAGCCATGAGGACAGTCTCCAGTTGCTTTTTGAAGTACACTAAAGTTTTCACCAGAAATTACCTGAATTTATAGAACTAGTTTTGACATATTTCCTTGCATTCTCAAGAGCAGTGATGGGGTCTTCGATCATGAATCCCTATGGATTATCAACCTAAAGTACCTTATCCTCTTTCATTAACTCATAAGAGTTCTTGTAGCCTAAGATCTTGGCCTTCTTTAGTCTGGAGTAAAGTATCTGGAGCATAAGTGGGATATTCTCCTTATTGGCCTCAGCTTGGGCAATGAAATACTTCTTTCTTATTTCCTCTGACGGAGAATGCAGTATGAACTGTAGGATGCTCTTATCCCCTGTAAGCTCATATTCAGCAGCATCCTTTCCTTGGAGGCTCTCTAAATATCTTCTCAAAGTTGGAGAAACTGATTTCAGCTCCTTTTTAGTGAGTTTTATAGTATAACTTTGGTTATATTGGTTCATTATGAATTTTCTGGTTAAATCATCAATCACACGCTGGATTTGATCAAGGTGGCCAGTGTGGCCTGTCTGGTATGGAGTGAGTTCTTTAATCATCTGATTCACAAAGCTACACTTTAGCTTAACAATTTACCTCTTCTCTCCTCGATCAAGGGTATCCCAGAACTCTGGCTCCTTTGCTTGAGAAATTTTCTTGTAAAGATCTTCATTGGTGTTCAATTGAGTAAAGAAAGAGCCGATTCTTGATGTAACCTTATCAATGGTTCCCACAAGATCCTACAGCATAAAATTCCTGCTTACCTCATAATCAGGTCTTTTATGTTCCTCATAAGTAGGAGAGAGGAAGGCATTTCTCATGACTACTGAGGAATCATATATCTTTCAGCATTCATTCGAAAGTGTGTCCATTTTATGAAGCATCTCTAAAATTCTCATCCTAACTTACCTTTGGAGATGTCCTTCTGGATGATGTCTCGTTCAAGGATTGTCTAAATGAGATACTCTAAAGCACCTACCTCACACTTTCTGAGAGCTTCCTCTGTGATTTTGGGGAGGTCTTTCACATATGAAAAGATACCTTGAGAGTTTCTCTGCAATGTCTTGATACAGAATGAGGAGTTCATCTTTAGTGGCTTTCAATAAATTATTAAAAATCAGGGGTTTTGGGGTTTTGGGGTTTTGGGG